TAGATGTTATTAGAAAAGACTTGACTAGTAGAAATCTTGATATTAGATTTAAGAATTTGACTGATTTCGAAGACCTTAGATTTTTAGCTTTAGATAGGGAGGAGTGGAAGAAGTTAGAAGATGGTTGATGTTTTTGTTTTCTTTTTTATGCGTTTTGATATCTATAAGGTGCCTAGGATGCTCTTTTAAAGAGATATTTCGTACTTTGAAAGATTTACTACTACTATTCATTCAGTATTCATTCAGTATTCATTCAGTATTCATTCAGTATTCATTCAGTATTCAGTATTCATTCAGTATTCAGTATTCAGTTTTCATTCAGTATTCATTCAGTATACATTCAGTATTCAGTATTCATTCAGATTTCATTCAGTATTCAGTATTGTGTAAGATAAGGTGACGGATTTCATCTTATCCTACTCAAGAAAATATTCTGATCACAAAATACCAGGAAACAGAACACGGAACATTAATCGATGAACTGCTGCCAGATACCGAGCAAATATTTACGGGTATGATTTCTACAATATTCTAATATTGTACTAAAATACTACGTTGATATACGACAGCTCAAATATAACAAAGCAGAATAGTGCGAACCTTGAGCATAAAACTAAACCAAACAACTTTGATCCAGTTGTCACTTACCTAAAGCTAATACCTCAAGATATGAAGAAGATAGAGACTGTCCAGTAAAACACGCACCTGTTCGTAATTATACCTTATCAAGATATTTAACAAAGACAAACACTGAGTTCTAATGTAAAGGGACGGTCCACTAATTGAGGTAGGAATTAGCACTATCTTTCATTGGTTATTATATTTAAAAATTCCTCGCACACTGTTCAATTTGTTGAGATCTTCTGATATAATTGTAGAAATATAAAATATCTAGACCAGTCCTGACAAGAGATTTGAGTCAAATACATTGCACAGCTGCTACCGTGATTATTCTGTACTAGGTCTATGGCTATTATACAATGACAAATTATTCTCGAGGCTGTAAAGTAACCGTCCTGTAAGTCCTCTCTATAAATTACATTTCATATCAAAGTATCAAACAGTCAGTGTAATACGTGCTCGAGTACACTATATATATTTATCAGCTTCTACAAAATCTACATTTTGTTGACACGTATTTCTTTTAAGAAAGTCACATTTTTATCAATTCACTTTAGTTTTGTTTGGGTCTTAAATTAAGCAAATATATGTCAAGTACAAACACAGCTGTTGCCGTAACTTTACTTTACAATGACGGTACAATCTTGGTACTATTGAGTAACCTTCCTGAAAAGTGCTTTCTCATTACGTTACCATATCAACCAGGTGTTGTCCTAAACTGTTGTCCTAAACTGTACACTCTAGTTAAATTTAGCTAGCACATAAGTCACTATATCCCTTTATCCGTACATTATACTGCAGAGGTCGCCTACCTTGAACCAGATGTTAATAATGTCGATAGACAACTGATGTAATTGTACGTGAACGTGTACACTATGCATTTAACGACTTCTGCTGTGTGATGAATGTATTTAGTTGATACTCTGTGTAGGGTTAGATTTGCTTGAATATGGGTTAGATTGCTTGAATATGGGTTAAACTAGGTTAAAATGTGTACCATAATAATATAATCACATTGGAGAACGACTCCGACTGGGATTCGAACTTGAAACCTCCGGCTAAAGTTGTGGCAGATTAGTCAACTGTGCTAAAATGACATTTTAGTAAACTGTGTCTCGGATAGCGCTCAAACGGGGCTCCAAACCATGACACTATACTACTACGATACAGCCGCGCACTCGATCGTGCGCGGCGGGTCTACAATGTTGAATGTACAACGTAAGGCAACAACCTACGAAGACGCGCGCCGAGTACTTTATATTAAGGAACAAATATTTTAATACATAACGGTATCACCCGCGCGTTATATTAATAACAATGTAATTTAATTAACAACATTACCAGCTGGCACGCCAACCTCAAAAAACCGCCAACCTCAACACTCCCAGCAATCCTTACTAGGGGGTGCACCATAAAAATAAACTTGCTCGGATTTTAGAAATTTGTGTACCATTGTTTTCTAGAGACTGTGAGAATTTTCACAATACCAAATTTGTCATACCTTTTTGGAAAAATCAGTGAGTTTCGCCTAGGTGCCATATTTGATGGTGCGCGGCTTTTGGAGCAAAATTAGCTGTAAAAGTCGCGTAATTTGACCAAATTTGACCAAATTCGTTGATTTTTGTCGTATTATTTGGATATATCTTCAGTTCCTTGAATGAGATCATTCTGAAAATTGGCGACGACCTTCCAATAGGGCTTTCACAATTGTCCAAAAAATTTGATGGATATCGGAGTTGATATAGTGATCAAAATGGGGCAAAATACGCTGCTTTTAGCTGTAACATAATGTCTGATGGTTGGATATGCTTTAAACTTTTCGGACACCTTTCTTGTAAGTCTATAAGTAAGCTTACCAATTTTTGTTGCAATCGGAGGTCGGGAAGGATACTTAATATTTATTTGTTTGAAGAAAATTGTGCTGGCCGAAATTAGCGCTAAAAAACCATCCTACAGTCGGCACGCGCGGCTCACTGTCGATGGCGCACTACCTATCCTTACCACTTACTGGCTGGCAATATTGGCTTTTACTAATTCGCTCGCCCAAAAATTTGTGACCAAAACGGTTTTTTGCCCATAACTCTCCAGGGAAGCATTTATATTACCCTACGTCATGGGGGGGTGGGGTGATTCGGAATCAGCATCCAAAAATATGAAATACACCGATTCTCGATTCAAATTAATTTCATACCCAAAGGGCCTTTTCTCAACACTCAAGAATTTTCTTAAAATTTGGGCGAGCGATTTGTAGTACGTAGGAGCGGGCGATATTGATATTATTACAGGTGATTGCGTCTTCACACTTCACAGCTTTTTGAGCTCCGCGCGCGCTCGTACCAATGCGCAGCCCTTTCTCGAGCTTCTCGTGCATATGCTTGATATGATCATCAATAGGTGATACTTTGCTTTATCCAGAGCCCTTGCGCTTGCAGTTAAAGTTTACTTGTGAAACAAGCGCGCCCGCAGCGGCGCGAAAGCACATGGTTAGTGGTTAAGTGATCAAGGTGATACTTTGTACTTGTAAAATATTTGTTTCAAATATTATACCGTCGACGAGTCCAACTCGGCGCGCGTTTTGGTAGGTTATAAACCCACAAGTCTTACTGGGCGGCGCTTTGTCGGGCGCTCAGCCTGTCAATGTCATTCCGCCAAATCTCTATTCGGAACATAAATATAATTATAATAGCCTGGATCGAGTCCCCAGTTGTAGGTTTATAACCTACCAGGACGCGCGCCGAGTTGGACTCGTCGACGGTCCTAATATATGGAACAAATATTTTATGAGTATCACCCGTTAAGGTCCCCAGGTAAAACTCGTCAAGAAATTATTTTTATGCTATGTACAATGTAATTAATAAGTTTTATTCGAAATCATCGTAAAAAATACATACGTATATAGCTTACTTTCTCAGTAAATCCCATAGCTTACTCATAATGAAACGTATAAGCATGTACACAGAATGGTAAAAATCTAATCGCACCCCAGATTGACAGGCTGAGCGCCGCTCAGTACATTATTTGATTTAAAATCAAGGTAGTTCATTTATTTTTGTATTAGCAATTACTATTACTATTAGTATTACGTGATCAATATTTTGTAAATTTAAACCCCTTTGGCCTTCTCCTATTTTATTTATTTCCAGATTGTAGCTCTGCTGCTACGATCTCGTCAAGAGTTCTGCTACGATCTCGTGGTAGATCGAGAGAATCACTATTTGCTATTTTAAATTCTTGAGTGGCGCAGCCATGTACACAGTACACTTACTTATACTATACACTATACAGTACATCGCGCTACGAGTACAAGTACAAAGTTAAGGATTAAGTGTCAATTGTCGATAGATTAATTAAATAATATAATCATAATTGTAAAATGCGCACATACGAATTATACAAAATATGGAATATGGTATCGCCGGTCAGTGTCAGTGTCAGTGTCAACCTGTCAACCAGTGTTGAAATGTTAAAGACGACTATGTAGACAAGCTCATGACCTTATTTTCTGTTTAAAACTGGGACCCCGCGTTGAGTGGGTTTTACGAGACACAGTCCAGACAATGTCTGATATGACTAAAATGGTGTGGCCACGAAAGGTTTCCCAGTGCAATCCTTCATTTATAACCCCCTACTGGATGAAGCCTTAATCGTATACTAATATTTATATATACGCAGTGAAACTGAAATGAGCACCAAGTTGATAGTAAGGGGTCGTTCACATAATCATATTACGTAATCACTGAGAGAGAGAGAGAGAGGGAGGGGGTGGGTTTCTGAATGATTAATATGGAGTGTCATTTTAACACAATAGCTATGTGACTGTGTGTAAAACTGATTACGGAGTGGTGGTTAAAAATTAACCACAATGCACTGATCATCAGTGGTATTTACATTGTTCTCAAACTGTTTAGGTGCAAACAGCACGCATGCAAATTATCGATTATATTTACAAACATTTGCTTTGTACTTGTATGTCGTAATGATGTACACGTGATTATGGTTGGCCCAACCGACAACTATTCACAAACTTGATAATAGGCTGCAATGTATGCAGATCGATTGAATATAGATTATGCGATATACTACAAAACAGATTCCTAGTATTAAAGATTGTTTCCGTCTTGTGCAACAATCAACAATGGTTCAAAGATGTGCAATAGTCGCATCTTCGATACTTTCAATACTTATGTTGCCTGTTCATCTTAACCATATTTTATGAATCCTTCAAAATAACAGTTCTTCGATAAGAAGGTCGTTTAAATTTATTTTTGTATCTTTGACTACCAACTTGTATGAGGATTAGTCTATTTTCTATGGAGACTATATTTTTAATTGAACCTAACATTGTACTAAGATCATTCAAGTGAAAAAAATAAAACAGGTTATTTCTACCAAATGTCATCAGAAATCAAATTCCAACAATATTATGTTAAATGTAAAATGTCATCTTAAATTTAAATAATATTTAATATTTGTTTAATTAAATCTCAAAGTCACAGCAAAATGTGAAAACAGTGCTGAAAAAGCTTTAACATCTTTTCAATAATAAACTGTGTTAATCAAACAAATCCTTTTCTCCAAAATGTATAAACTTTTATTTCGAAATAGAAACACATCATCGCACGTTAAACCAAGCATTCAATTATGGCCGATAAGCATATTATCAACTGATCAATTAGCATCAATTAGCCAATTATAATCTTACTGACTCAGTCACAATAAGCTCGCACGGTAAAAGATTAAAAATCGAAATACAACACAACGACTGCCGGCCGAATAATCATCAAGTCTCATCATATCGAAAACGTTTTAACTTCCCATTAAACATAGAAAATTCGCATCAAAAATTCAGGGACCAAGCAAGGTCGATTTTTATTTCCCCAACCATATCCAAAAACATTCTCAAAAAGTTGCCCTTTACTGTTGTTGTAATCAAAATGTGAGACTGAGAAATTACAGACACAAACGTGAATTTTAATCTTAATCCTCAAATCATTATCTTAGTGAAATCGTAAAAAATCGGGATGCCAAATGCCATTAACACAAAAATCAACGTCTTCAAACTGAGCACTTAAAAATGAAGTTTTACATTAAAAGTTTTTACTTTCTCAGCTCACAAATGATTATCGAATAGAACATTTATTAATAGAAAAGTGGAAGATTACGATGGTAATCCCCCTCCCCATAACGCTCTGTACCCACTTTACGCCGTGGTTCATACATAATACATTACACTGGAGCGAGCTTACACAGTGTAATTTCCTCCAGTCTGCGCCGCATACGTTCATATAGGCGCGCGGCGCAGACTGGAGGAAATTACACTGTGTAAGCTCGATCCAGTGTAATGTTATATGTATGTACTACGGCTTCACGCAGATTTAATATACTCGACCAGCTCCCAGTTCAACACAGTGTCATTTTATTATTACTTTTAGTTTTTGGGGCAGATTTTTAGGAATCTACCCCAAATTAAAGTGAGAAAACTTTTTATAACCCGCGTCTGCAAGATCTGCAAAATTTGAGGTCGGAAGACGAACTGAGAGCGTGACGAGTAAATACGTCGAAGACATAATAGTCTAAATAATTAAACTCGTGGCACTTGGTGCACGGATTAAGCCTAGCTATTCCAGCCAAAAAGGGATCTGATCATCCTTTGATGATCCGGAAACGATAATCAAAGAAAATATCGATGTGATTTTTTTGGAAGTTGGCTGAAATACCTAGCTTTGATAATCACTGATATACAAAACGGTCAAAGAATTTTTTGTCTCATCTCAAATTCAATTTGGGATGATTTTATCACCATGATAATAATATTCATAAAACATATCTTAAAATCAGCCTGTTAATGCACTTAAATATGCGGCCCAACATTCACTGCTTACAACTCAGCAATCTATGTACTTACAGTTTCCTCATCACGAGAATTAAACGTACGAAAAAAAAAAACAACGGCAGGCTGCACATAGTAAATACAAAGTCCTCTGTGTCAATCAAGTCTTTTCATTTGGTGGCTGCGTCTGAGCCGACGTGTTTTACGTAACTGAAACCTTTGCCTGGAACATCACATCACGACCCTCACAACATGACGTCACGAATACATCTCATATCACGTGACGTCACGCGTGAGAAGCCACGCGTTAGTGTGTGGGTATTCATGGGTCCATTTTAGCAACCCAGTCCATAAGTACGTCTCCTTGATTGGCTTTGAATTTGTCGAGTGGAGTCCTCTTGTCTGATGAATTGTACGGCACGTAACTCGTTTGGAAGCCTGTTTTCAGGGTGGAGGATGTGGAGGATGTATTAGAGGCGTGCGCTGAACTGGTTGTTTTGCTTCTGGCTCGAGTGCTGAAACGTAGTAGGGCGGTTAGATACTTGGAAAAGATTATTGGTGTTGAAAAAGATAAGGTAATTCAATAATTTGATCAATTTTTGGAAATCGCCCGGAAATTTGATAAAATGTGCTTTTCTAGCAGGGAACAAAAACACGGACATGTTTGCTCTTTTGGAAAAATATTGCCTTATACAGAGCAGATTTCTGATAACGATCACAGTTGAAAACTTCTACAGAAGGAAATGAAATCAAGAGTAGAAAAACTTACTTTGTATCTCTGTTATTATTTCTGAAGTCGAATCCGGTATCAAGACCAGTGGTGGTAGGGAAACGGGTCTTGTTCTCTTTGTTAGCCTGGACCTCTTGCTTGTAGGCTCGTTTGTGGAGTACGTAGTACTCGTTGTTTGAGGGAATCTTTATAGATGAACTGAGGAAAGGTTAAGGATTAATTATTTGTTAATAATACATACAAACTAATGAACTGTGGAGAGTGGTGAATGGTCGTGATATATTTTCTGTGGTGTTAATGAAACTGCTTTGGTGGTCGTGGGAAAGAAAGGACAGAAGACAATTCGAACTTGGTCGCAGTAAAACCACCGACTACTTGACACTTTGGTATAAAACTACCGCAGAAAACTGAAAATACCTCATTTGGGAGATGGTTGAACACTTGAATAACCCCCAGGCAGAAATATCGACTAATCTTTCGACCACAATATGCAAAATGAATTGTGTTTCGTGTTTACAGCATTAAGGGACCTTCTTGGACCTTCTAATCTAATTTAGATCCGGATATAGCCTAGCGTGGTGCCAATTTCCGGGACAATTCCGACATAGAGCTTCTTAGGGTGCCTATATATCAGCCAACAAAGAAAAAAAAACAAATTAAAATATCTTCATTATTTTTATCACGGAATTCTGAAGTGTCAAAATATTAGCGCAAGAATTACCAATTCTCAGAAAAAGGAGCATGGCAGTGGCAGAGAGAAACATACCAGAGTATATGAGTTTAACTCCCCGGAGCAAGCCTTTCAAGTCAGCCTAATTTTTTAACTTAAGCACAATAATCAAAGAAAGGTTCCTATGGCTTGGCCAGGCTATCAGACAGTTATAAGTTATATGTAGAGGGCACGAGGACCGAGAAGCAGTTAGCAGCTGTATAATGCTAGTATATATAGTATTTATAAATAGTATATATATACTATTTAGCAAAGTATTGTCTACTAATAGAAACTCAATGTCTATAAACGTCTCGAGTTACAATGTTGTCTCGGTACACGTTGTTAAGAACGGGGCAAGTATTTAACTAAAACTAAAAGTATTCCGTTGGTATTGGTAACGATATATGTACTAAGTGAACAGTGTGTTAAGTTATGAGCAGTGTGAAGCCATGTGTGTGCTATGGAAAGTGTAGTGGCATGTGCAAATACTAAATATAACACAAGAGACTATCAGACTCAATATCGGACTCAACAACAAAGGAAACTAACTTAAATAAGAGACGATCATTAGTGTGTTGAATAAGGGGAATTAAAAGAAGATCTGACATGTCACGTGTTATAATGTCACGTGTAATGTCACGTGTAATGTCACGTGTAATATCACGTGTAATGTCACGTGTAATATCACGTGTAATGTCACGTGTAATATCACGTGTAATGTCACGTGTAATGTCACGTGTAATGTTACATACCAGGAGGAGGCTGAAGAGCCGATGGAACTGTAACTAGCGTGTTTACATTTCAGTGTGTTAGCCCAGTCATCATGGGGCGGTCTGTTGGATGATGTGGAGTTTGAAGAGGAACTGTTCGTGTCGTTAAATATCTTCCATTCGCTTTTCCCTGGGGAGAGTCAGGGTTTAGGGGTAATTAGGGGTAATTAATTAGGGGTAATAAAGACAAGTGAGAAGTAATATAGTAAGTGAGAAACACTGTTTAAAAATATGGAGCTCAGTGTTGTTTTTGAAGAGGCCAATATGGAGCTCAGTGTTGTTTTTGAAGAGGCCAATTGATTTATCAAAACAAACGTGGAAGTGGTAACTAAATAAACCAAACAATGAGTGTTGAAAAAAGCACATACCTGGGAGTTTATTAGAGTTGTTCTTGCCGATGCCAAATAGATAAAATTTGTCTGAAACCATGTTGCTGTAAAAGTTGGCGGTTAAGTATTGGGAATTTATAACAGAAAACATTGAATCAGTTAAATTATTCCTTATTTAAATTCCACATCTACAATATGTAATATACATAGGAATTTACCCAAGAAAACATATCAACTATGCGACTCATAAATACTACTATTCCAATCCGGATTTTACATACAATATACAATAACACAATATTATGTTTTACGATATGCAAAACTCCGAGGTAAAAAACAACACAGGGCAAAGATAAACGCATGACACTCGTACAACAAGCAAATGCAAAAATTATGTAAAAACTCTGAAAAACATGGCGTCAAGAACAAAACATGACGAAAAGAAAACTTATTAGGACTGAAATATCAATTACTCCCCTCTGCAGTTCACTTGTAATCAAATGAAATGCATAAAATCGAATAACAAAGCATAAAATTCGATTTCTATAAATAGGCTGCTATCCAGGATTACCCCAAATATACCCCTGGTGTTTAGCTAAAAACAGAATTTATCTAGTTAGCAAAGAGGAACATTATGTAGTTAACAAAGGGGAATATGCCACACTGCGAGAAATGCAACAAGAGCCCTCTCTCTCTCTCTCTCTCTCTCTCTCTCTCTCTTTCTCTTTCAGCAGGTCCGGTATTTTATTAGAAACAAAGTAAGAAACCGATACTGCCTCTCCCCGCGTATAGCCATACTTTTAAAAGTTAAATCCCAATTTATTTTAATTGCATTTACAAGAAAAACTCTTTTAAAAGTTAACAGACGAAATCTACAAGCCAGCAACATAACGTGTCAACAAGTCCGAATTAGGAAACGAAAATGCGAATAACAAGAGCCCTAACGGCTGTTCCTTCAGCCGACCAAATCTGAACATATTAGGTCATAACAGTTCTCTCAAATTAGCGAACTTTGGGAACTGGGTAAACGTTAGAAACTCATAATGCAGCAGACTTTGTCGTTTGTAAGATTCTACAGAGACACATTTCTACCAAAATAGCAGGATGATACATGAATAGCACGACGATACATAATAGTAGAACACGGCTCTCTCCAATTATACGGGTTAACTTTAGACTATTTTAAAAAGAGTTCAAGTCACGTATTCTAGGTCAGGTTATTAAAGTCACGTATTATAGGTCACGTATTATAGGTCAGGTTATTAAAGTCACGTATTCTAGGTCAGGTAATTCACGTACGGTCCCGCTGATTTATACAATACTACGGCTGCAGCAGAGGGAATCATGACAACTGTACTATCATACAGGCACAAAATAGCAACCAGAGAGAGAGAGAGACTGAAGTTGGCACACTTTTCGACACCTGAGAGAGAGAGAGAGAGCGAGAGAGAGAGCGAGAGAGAGTCGGGCTCATGCTCTCTCGATCAATACTGACTAACAAGTTGTTTCTTAGAATCGAGAATCGGCAAATTCTGGTAATCCGCTGTATTTTCCTTATCTTATGTACCTGAGATTCAGATAAGGGACGAGGAATACAGATAAGGGACATTAGACATGTTCAGGGGGAGGTCAAGGTGGACCCATGGGAATATTATACGGTAGACAATGAAGTGCGCTGGAAGTGAGCTTGCGCTGCGTCTGTTTCCCAATGACCTGATGATTCTGAGAACTGCATATGCACCGCTCACCGCTAGTTTCGGGGAAGTACGTGGGTCTATTGTGTAATATTGGCCGTACTGTGGTTTCTTCTTGCTCACATTGTGTGCTATTGTTTGGAGACTGTGGAAGTAGTCTGGAACAAGAGAGAGAGAGAGAGAGAGAGAGAGAGAGAGAGAGAGAGAGAGAGAGAGAGAGAGAGAGAGAGAGAGAGAGAGAGAGAGAGAGTGCTATTGTTTGGAGAGGACTGTGGAAGTTGTCTGGAACAACTCCTGTTCTTCCAGACTTACTGAACAACTGAACAAGAGGCGTGTTGTAGGAGATTATAAAGCTGTGGAGAAGAAACATGTCCATCTTAATTAATAAAATAGTTCACAATTAAATTTAAAACTGGTTATATTACATACAAGCGCAAATTATTCAAACTAAAACGTGATGCAAGCGAGAAAATAATCGTGACAGGGGTAAGAGTATGCATGAGGAGACACAACGCAGTTGTAAACAATGGACTCAACTCTTACCAATGAATGCTTTACATTATGCAGGAAAACACAGTCCCACTTTAAAATTATCACGCAGATATATTAAATCACACCAATAACGAGTGATGCAACATAATATCTGACAAGCACACACGCAGACACATGTGTTTCTCCCACACACGCAAACGTGATACGTGAATGTAATTGTTTGGAGTAATTAAATAAATCTAATTAACTAGACACGGTATAACCAGGAGAGATACAACAAGGGCGGGGAAATGTTGGTTAATACCACGAACACATAGATAGCGCTGGACGGGGGGAGCTGGACGGGGAAATAAGAAAACCACGCACAACAGTTTGCAGTATGATAGTAGTCAGCTGGTATGTGTAGGGTTTCCCAGCGATATATTATGCAGTGCATACATTATGTAATGTTACATATTCTACATATAGCATAATGTTCCTTTGTAAAGCGATGATGATCGCAAACTGCACGGATGTGCTGTAAGGATTCCTGCCGCGATCAGTTGTGGAGGGTTGGGATCGTAGTTAGGGCTAAATATGGTAGTTAGGGTTAAATATGGACATGTTATAGTTATTTGTAGTAGTACAAAGTTAGGATGCACATGTAGCTAGATTAACAGCTATTTGTAGCAATGGGCGAGGAGTACAATATAGAAAGGAGCATAAAGTAAGGAACATATTTAGTAAGGAGCATAATATGATAAAGATAATAATATAAATAGTAAGATAATATTATAAAGGAGCATAAAGTAAGGCACTAATTCATAGCCAGACTAAGTATTATCATCAAAGATAAATGGAGAAATCATGAGACCGCAAGTGGAGTAATAATATGACGAAAGATCACAAATCACCGGTCCCAGAAATGGAGAGATGGAGGGTAATAGTAGTCCATGGTCACGTGCTTGGTCACGTGCTGGCTGATTAGGATTCAACTAGACGTGTTTTATAAATCTCTCTGTGGTTATCTTATTCTCTGAGGAGGACCAATATCATTGGCTAATTTGCTGGCAATTCGTGAAGAATATTATTCTTAAACCATGTACGAATTATGCGACCATATGCGAATAGACCAGGACTACGTGTGTTAGTGTGTGGCTTGTAGCGCGGTTTGTATAAACAGAGGGGAGGAAAGTTGAGGAGAATTTAAAACAGCGGTGTTCAAGCTCTGCCGTTTTCTGCCAAAAGTGCTTAAAGACCACTCAAAAATGTAGGCACATTTCTCAGAAAACAGCAGAGCTGAATAAGTATATATCCACCAGCGTGCGCTTTTCGCATAGCGGGCTCTCACCAGCCCGCTGTCAAAGGGCCCGATATCTCTACAGCCCGCTCATGATATAGCCCGCTAACAAGTGACATTTAATTTGACCAGTAGCAATATAGCCCGGAGTTCTCTAAAATATATACAGCTGGAGCCAATCTTGTACGGTGAATATGGAAATGGCTTGTGCCCACATTGTCTCACAGTTACCAACTCAGAAGTTAGTACGAGATATTTGACATATTCAATGATATTGGACAGTTTTGCAACAGACTTGTAACTGATAACTGTAACTAAGGTGCGGGGGAGAAGACAATATAACACGTACAGTAGCTGAACAAAGAGATAATGAGGGCTCTCCCCGTGAAATACATGGTAATTAGTAAAAAAGTTAATTCACTGTCTCATGATTCGCAGAAAACGTTTCTCTGTGCTACTAAGTAAACATGACGTCATGAGGTACGTCATCTGGTGCGTCATCAAGGGGAATTAATCATGTTACCTACCGCGCGCTACATAGCAAAGCGTTTTAAATAAATAAAGACGGTATAATTATAGGAAATACCGTTATCCAGGGTGAAGGAAATATTGTGACGTCACAATATAATATGTATCGCTAGGAGCAGAAATTTGACGTCACAGCATATCGCTAGAAGGAGAAATGTAACTGCACAGACCGCAAGTATTCAACAAAACACAACTATTCAACAAAAAACAACTATTCAAAAAACGTGAAGCAAGGTAGAGAACAGCAGTGTGACGTCACAATACAGAAAACGATAAGTAAAACTCATTTTTGAAGCAGTAAAAGTGTCACTCTGACTCACAAACAGGTAAATGTTACTGCGTCTAAATGTGTCGACGAATAGAACCGATTTACTTCGCTTTTCACGCTACTCTGTATACTCAGTGTAAGTTTTGAGGTCTGAGGTAAACCGTTAAGTGTTATCTTGTGTCACGTGGGTTGTTATAGTAACACCGCGCCTTGTGTCACGTGGGTTGTTATAGTAACACCGCGCCTTGCTGTTAAACACTGTTTGAGGGTGCGGAAAGCAACTGACAACCAATAGGAACAGAGCAGTAAGTAGCTGCCATAGTATTAAGGATCTTCTAAGACTGAAACCGACCAATCATGTGACAGATTGAGTCTACTGAGAAATCAGCCAATCATGTGGCAGTATCTGTCCTGACAATCATTACCTAACATCCACCGCAGATATCTCGCAACAAACAAAGAACTAATTGTGATGGTAGTAGGACCTAGCAGTAGTAGGACCTAGCAGTGAACCAATCATTTGACTCTCTTGCTAGTTGTATGTTATTAAAATGAGGAGGGTGATATAGTGTTATTAGATGATGTTGTTGCGGCGTGACTTTCATAGTGGAATCAGCCTGCTTGGTGTGATGTTACTGTAGGAATCAACCTAATCGGCGTGCTCTCTCTCTCTCTCTCTCTCTCTCTCTCTCTCTCTCTCTCTCTCTCTCTCTCTCTCTCTCTCTCTCTCTCTCTCTCTCTCTCTCTCTCTCTCTCTCTCTCTCTCTCTCTCTCTCTCTCTCTCTCTCTCTCTCTCTCTCTCTCTCTCTCTCTCTCTCTCTCTCTCTGAGATGAAAATATGTGTC